GATGCTCCATTTATGGTAGAAGGAACTGAGATTCTTAGAGTTAATGAAGTGAAGTTCTTGGGTGTTATTATTGATGAAAAATTGACATGGAAATCTCATATAAATAACTTAAGAACAAAAGTAGCAAAATCGATAGCAATTCTGTACAAAGTAAAGGAGTTATTTAATGAAAAAGCACTATTTATGTTGTATAATGCACTAATTGTTCCTCATTTAAATTACTGTATCGAAGTCTGGGGTAAAGCATGTAAAACAATTACAAACCCACTTTTTATTTGACAGAAAAGAGCAGTACGAATTATCACCAGACAAAAATGAAGACATCCATCAAATGTATTGTTTTGTCAACTCCAGATATTGAAATTCTATGATTTGGTCAATTACAGCATTTTGCAGATTATGTATAGGGCTCATGAAATCATATTGCCCGTCAATATTCAAGTACATTTTATTAAAAGGGAGAATGTTTATTTTCTTCAAGGGATAGAAATGTTTGTGAAGCCTTATTTTAGCACTAGTTTAAAAGAACGATCCTCTGTAATCCAGGGGATAGGATTATGCAATGGTCTGGAGGATACATTTAAAAATGCCAGATCTCAACATATATTTAAGAGAATATTAAAGGAGAGTTATTTGACAGAATACAAAAAACTCCAAATTGAATCCACTAAAGTTATTGTTTGAGTCGATGATGTTGTTCTTTAGTTGATGTTGCTTTTAAATCTCTGAAGTTGTTGCACGTCTTGCTTTTTGTTTTTCTTTGGTAACGAGACAGTAAGGGTAAAAAAGGGGCAGATATTATAAGATTCATTCTTCTTCTGCTGCCTTTCATTTTATTTTGACTGTATACATTTTATTCATTATTTTTGAGTTGTTATGGTTTTTAATGCAATGAAATGAATAAATTAAATAAATAAATAAATAAATAAATAATGCAATGAAATTGAAAAGCACAGATAAGTAAGCACACTAATTGTCCTATATTTTTCCATGCATCCATTATCTTTTACCCGCTTCTTCCTTTTTGGATCGCGGGGGTCGCCACTGCCTATGTCCAGCAATCACTGTGTGAGAGGCGGGGTACATCCTGGACAAATTTCCAGTCCATTACAGGGCCACAAAGAGACAAACAAGACAAACAACCATTCACCTCTCACTCACACCTAGGGACAATTTAGAGTCACCAATCAGTCTAACATACATGTTTTTGGTCTGTGGGAGGAAACCGGAGTACCCGGAGAAAACCCATAAATGCATGGAAAGAACATGCAAACTCCATCCAGAAAGGCCCCTGGACTGGGATTTGAACCAGGGATCTGCTTGCTGAGAGGCAGCAGCTCTACCAACTGTGCCATTGTGATGGCCATCCTATATTTTTCCTTTTCCTATTACAAACCGGATTCCAAAAAAGTTGGGACACTAAACAAATTGTGTATAAAAACTGAATGAAATGATGTGGAGGTGCCAACATCTAATATTTTATTCAGAATAGAACACAAATCACAGATCAAAAGTTTAAACTGAGAGA